CACAACTGGCTAGGCTTCCTATTGAGCTCCATCAGCGAAGTGCTGTTGTACACACACACGTCCGATCCCCTGTGTCGGTGATGTCGCCAGTTCTTAGCTGACCACGCTCGGTGACGCGCCCCGGACAATACAATGCAGCTGCGGAACGATACATTAATCCACTAATCTCCAGGCTGATCGCCTCCCGCTTGCTCATTTCGCTTCTCTCCAAGTAGCTTGTTGATGTCGAACCACCGCCCGCCCTGTTGTTGACGCCTGGTTAAATCAGCTTCGGCCATGCTTATATTTCGACTTTCTTCTGAACTGGATCCCGCTGCATTTGCCGTCAGATGCTCCAGAAAAATGCTTTAGCACGAGTATGCTCTTAGCACTTCTTCCAGCGCAGATAAAAATCATGGGTGTCGATGGAGATCGAACCCGTGTTGTTATTGCTCGGCGGGGGAGGAGGCACTACTCCTACCTCGGAATCGACATTGAGCGTCGTCAACGCACTGCCACACGGTGCATAGATAAATGTTAAGAAGTCATCGTCGAACTCAAAGCTGTCGTCGACGGGAGGTAACAACCTGCGCAGGGTTCTGACTGCCCCTGGGATAGCTGAGAAGTAGTAGCCGACTTCCAGTGAACCCTTGACGCCTTCCTCGAAATGGGCGATCATCCCTGTGACTTTCACACTCTCCAGAGAAAACGCGAACCCAGTAGGATAGATCAGCTTGACGGCCAGTAGGCATTTCTTCACCTGGTCATCTGGACTTCCTGGGGTGAACGCCTCGTACTCCGCGAAAAATACAGTGAGCACCGTTCCGTCGAAGGAGAGTGCGCCCTCTACACTTCCAGGCAGACAGCCAGAGCCACTATAGCTGTAGCTCTCCATCTTTACCGTACCAGATGGCGGACTTTGAGCAAGTCCAGGAACGGCAAGCTGGAGAAGCCCCAGCAACAGGACGACCACCATCGCCGCCATCGTAGACACGGACTCGAAAACCGTGTGCCTGATCCTCTTCGTCCACGCCTTTCGCCTCACCGTGCTCCTGTCTCCGCGCGCCCAGCGACAGATGAGCTGTTACGACGATGGCAGCAGATACCGCCCTCCCCAATTCGCTGCTCCCGGAGCTGTTCGCCTGGAGTCGCCCCTTCAAGTTGAGCTCCCTCTCCTTGGCTGACATGCCGTGGAAGAAGAGAGAGCCGACGCCACTTCTCGGAGCTCCCGCCTGCTATCCCCAAAGCACGATCAGTAAGCAGATCGCAGCGCACTGTACGCAGAGTGCCCGTTAATGGAGAGCAGGAGGTGAAGTCTGCCTGTGTCCCCCCAGCACAGTGCATCAACATCACAATAATGCAGGCAACTGCTGTAACGTGGGTGTGATCGGTTGGAGGAGGAAAGAAGCTTATAGGGGTACCCTCTGGTAGTGTCGAGACGACACGCCGATCGAAAAAAAAATTAGCGGAAGATAAACGGCCCAAATCTACGTGTCGGGTGTCGGAAAAAAAAAAGAGAAAAAGGTGGAGGGTTGCTCCTCGCTCCACTACTCTCGACATGCACAGAAGACAAAAATCATGGCCGCGGTGTTTCTTTTTTTGTTTTTTTGTTTTTTTTTTTATTTTATCGGCTCATCCTCCAGGTTGAGTGATGAGTCATCTGTATTCGTAGATACAGGAAAGTGTACGACCTACAGAACAGATCCTGTTCAAGTACAGTCGGTTTTTTTTTGTTTTTTTTTTGTGCCGCGGTGTTTCTCTCCAAGTTGTAGCAGAAGATTCAGGGGGTTCAGGGGGTCTCTCTCCACTACTATACACTAAAGACTATAGTTGTCAGAAATCGGCCGTGGATCGCCCTCTACATTTGTGTATAGTTCCCAGCCTGCAAAAGTCGTTACTCGGATACTCCTCCAAGGAAACCACGGACCCGCCGCCTTTTTTGTATGGTGCACCTCAAATCAGGATCACCCTGGATACCCCACACACCACACACTCTGTCCGTCTTCACTCACTTGACACTGCTGTTCGCACACAGGATCACCCTGGATACCCCACACACCACACACTCTGTACACTCGCACACACACACTGCACTTCACTACCAGCTATGGCGGCTATGGCCGCTTCTACTCTATCGCTATGGCTACACTACTCTCCGTCAGCCCACTTCAACTTCGGGCGCATCTGCAGACCACCTTGACAAGCCCCTGTTGGCAGCGCTTCCGCATGGCTTACGCAGGAATAATGAATGGCTGTGCGCTGCCTCTTGATTTATACTTCTGTGACTCGCTGGTCTGCCCTTTTCCATCGGCACGTGGTACACACAGTCCCTCATGGTACTTGCTGGACTGGACTGGGACTGACTGGACCGGTACAGCTGACTGCATGGGTTTGCACCGCAGATTCACTGCAGTCGTACTGCCAACGTACTGAGGTTGGGTCCACTTGCATCTGTCTAAACGTGAGCTCACTCCGAAAGGTCACTTCCGGGACCTTCCGGAAGTCTGTGGACTTGGCCTTTCGGGTACTGTAACAGCTACAACCTTGACCTTTCAGGACTGTAGCAGCTACGACCTTGACCTTTCAGAATACCTGTAGCTACGACTTCTACAGAGCTGGGTCTCCTACTTGACAGATCTACAGATCGAGCCCATACCACTACACAGACCTACGACAGACAAACAACAACTAACGAAATGCAGGTCACGGGTTCAAACACTCGGGTAGACACAGATACTGTACACAGGTAAGGTGAGAACTAGGGATCGAGCCCTGGGCTCTGCAGTTTGCTACTGGTAAAAGGTGAAAACCGTTTCATCTTTCCAGTATGCCCCCTGCGACCGTTGGTCGCACTCACGGCTGTCCCTTGACCCTGGGAGGACAATTACAAGGGCATATCGGAAGTTTGTCATACAGCGCAACTTTCTGCCGTGCCCTCAATTCGATGGAAATCTCTCTCTCTCTCTCTCTCTCTCTCTCTCTCTCTCTCTCTCTCTCTCTCTCTCTCTCTCTCTCTCTCTCT